GTCTTTTTTAGAGATTCCGAGATTCCAATATGAACTATATATCAAGCAAAATGAGTGAATCTACACTCTAAAATATGTCTATATACATCCGTACGTAGTTTCTATTGAAATCTCTAAAATGACTTATATTTAGAAACGATGGGAGTAATATTTTGTTGGGTTGATCCGGAGTATTGGTTTTTTAATAGATTTTTACGAGTATTGTTCTTGTATCATAATGCTCGTGTGGATATTTTGTTGGGTTCACCTGGAGTATTGGGGTTTTAATATACTTTTATGAGTATTGTTCTTGTATCATAATGCTCATGTATGATGTCTTTGATATTATTTTTCTTTACCTTGTGGAGCGAAAAGGTAGGCGTCAAACACATGTGTGAATGCACACCCGATGGAGCACGAGATTGATGACTTAGTCTTTTTAAGCAATATATCTGGACTTCTGATTCATTAGTGACTATCAAGGACTTAGCCTGACACCATATATTAATCATACATGAAATGATATATCTAATAGCCAAATGGTCAATCATACTAACCTTAACGTGTGCAATTTAATCACATGTTCATTGCGTGGGGCACCATTACTTGGTGTCACCGTCATCAACATCGATGGGCTGATATAAGGACGAGGAGAAGGGAAGGGGCACCAGCTGCCTATCAGAGCACGAGCAACCTCATGCAACGGGCGAGAAAAGTGTGAGATGGTGACAATGGAGAAGAGGCAATCAAAGGAAGATCAGATGTCGGATTGGCGCGGACAGTTTTCACGTTGGAAGGATATGCCATGGCGAGTTACCTACCCTTACTTGAATCTTGTATTAGTAGTTATGGCAGCACACCTTCGGCTCGTCTTAGTGTTTGTAGTCGTCGCTAGGTGGTCTACAAATCTGAATGTAAGTTTTATTATTTCTGGTGTTCGTTGTACTGTCATAACTGAAAATGAATAGATCGAAAAAAAAATCCGAAAAAAAAAACTTCTTCTATAAAGAAATATAAAACTTTTCAGATCACTAGTAAAGGCAGTACAAATTATTTGATAACGAAACAAGGTGAAAGCTTAGCGTGCCAACTTTTTGCATCGAACCAACTGTGAGGGACATTTGGTTGGCATGCCAAAAAAATTGGTAAGTCATCAAACCAAACATGCACGCTCTACTCCCCTAAAATTATTAAGCTTGAAATTACAGAGTTATAAGTGGGTCTCAATCCTCAAGCCGTTTGTTGCAATGGTTTTGCTGATTCTAGATCAGTTTAGGTTTTCTTATTAATCTTATTAATATTCAGAAAAGTACAGCTTGCACTTCTTTCAGAAAAAGTACGGTTGGATGGAAAACATGTATATTGCATTTTCACCGACAGAAATTATAATTTTTTCGAACGCTTAATCAAATTACCATCTGACTTAGACATAGATAGATCCCAACAGTAGATAGGCGATGATCTCGTGTGCAGAACATACTGAAGAACAAACACCAAACAGTCATTGACATCCCTCTGAACAGCCGTACAGGTATGTACTACTTTCTTTTGTTTAGAGCTGCGATCCGGGGGCCGGAGCTGATCGACCAGCAATTGATTAATCTACTCCAGCCAATGCATACACGTCAACATGTCAGAAAACAAAACGAAAATACTCGAACCAGGTTGTCGCCGTGTACTCAAGCCGATCATGTGCAGCGTTTGACCGTGCGCATGGGCCGCTTCTCGATCGAGTGGTTGGGCAAACGGTACAAGTCACGAGTATCTATTTATCTATCTATATATCTAGAAAAGAAATCTAAGACTTGGTACGGTTCTCAAATCAAAGTAAAGAAGAAATTTAGCATTGGTACGTGATGGGCCCTTCGACGTGACTTGTAATTCCTTGATTCAACTATACGAATCAATCTGTGGTTAAATGGTTAGAAGGACAGTGATATCCCAATCCACAAGATTCAAGTCCTGAAGCTCGCATTTATGTTGAATTTATTTCAGGGCCAGTTCAGTCTCAAAAAATGCGTAAGGTGCCACAATTGTGTGAGTGAAACAAACACTAGCCATGTAGAGCTACTTGTGGCAAAGTTTAGCAAAGTATAACAAAAAAATCGCGGAGGTGCGGGGGCTCTCACTCGGTTGGCCATATGATTGCTTTGCGATTTGAAAACTTGTTTATGTGATTAGTCCATAATATTTGTTCGTGGGGTCCATGCATCAGGTTTTTGACAGCTCCACCTGTCCCATCCCCATGTTTTTTGTTCTTTTCACTCTCGGATTTGAATCTATTCTATCTTTTGAACTGAAATTTCAAGTTTTAATAGTTGAAACTTTGTGATTTTAAAAAAATATTGCCATAACTTATTCAAAACTGGTCCTATCGTCGCAAGGAACGCGATATGCAAACGAAAGACCAATTGGACTTTTGATTCAAAAGATATAATAGATTCGAATTTAAAAGTCAAAAGAAAAAAGACATGGGAGATGGGATGGGTGGAACAAGGCAATCGTACGGCCTGAACACTATGTGGTCCAGCACCGGATTGTCACAAATTCTCTACCAAAGTGTAACTATGAAAAGAAAATACCCTTATCATTTCTTTTTTGTACTCCATGATATACTAGTACCCAGCGGGTTGGCTTCTCTTTTAAGATACCTCCTCTTTCGTGTTTTTGCTAATCTTAGGCTCTTAGCGGTCGGTGTACATGTCTTTCCTCAATATGAAACTTGCTTTAGCAACAGTGACGACTAGCGAGCGCCTTCTCTCATGGATCTTGTGTTTATGATCATATATCCTGAGGTCGGCGTGCATCTATTACCTTTTACGGTCCGGGCCTCTTTCCCAACAAGTTAATAATTTGCATCAATGAGATGTCGAAGCGTCAAATCTGGATTTGATCCCTCGTGGATTGGGGATATAACCACCCACCCTTCTAACATTGAGCCAATGGTAGATCCTCAACTTTGGCTTCTTTGCACCACATAATTTACGAAGGTCAATATGAGAAAACACAGTCACATATTCTTTGATTTCAAGGAAACACAAGGCTATTGCACACGTTGATCGAAAGTGCACAACAAATTGATTAACACATTTTTCGTTAAAGAGCACTTTATTACTTAAAAGATTTAAGCATTACAACCGGTCACTGCATAACCGAGATGTACACAACCATAACCAAGTCAACATTCTAAAATAATAGAAAAAAGGCGGTCTTGCGGAAACTGTATAACGCCTAAGACGTAGGAGGGTCAATCCGAAGATCATGATGTCATCCATGTCGGGTAAAAGTATCCCTCGTCGTGGCCTTCAATCATGTACACACCTCCGTAAAACATGTCTTGATTCTACACACGTTATAGAGACGACCATAAACGTACCATTTCACGATAACCTGCAGAAGAGGGATTTAAAGAGGCCGTGAATGAGAGAGATAGGAAGAGGAATGGTGAACACTATGTGGGAGGGAGGGAGTGTGTTAAAAAGAGCGCACATTGAGTTCACTTCTCTCTTCTTCTTTTTTTGCCAAAAAGGCGCATTGAATTCTTAAAAAGAATAATAACATGAATGGGATTTCTAGGTATTTAAGGGCACA